TCAGATGTGGTTCGGAGTTTTCTTGGACCAGAGATTCATGATCGTGATCAGTGATTGTGTACTTGTAATTGGGCGTCCGTGGGGAACGAAATTCTTCCGGTGTACCAGGCCGCAGAAATTCCCACGATTCCGACGGACGCCGAGGATGGACCTGCGGCCCGTTCCGCAAACGGCTGTTCTTCCAACGATTCTTCGACTCGAAGAGGAAAACCGCGAGTCGTCCCGACACGGAGTCAGAGTATCATCGCATATTGACTTCGAGGATAGATCCTTGAGGGTGTTTCGCGCGACATCGGAATATTGCATCTAAGAAGCCCGGAGCGGAGGTCCTCCTGGCTGATGAGGGGTCAAGATCATTCGAGGGCATGGCGGCGGCGTGGAATACATCGATCGCTTCGCGAGGAGCCGAAGTCGCGACCCCTTGGCATCGGTTATTCACTCTCGGATAAATTCACACAGAGGCACAATCCTCTGGTCTCTGGCGGCACCGACATCGGAGCGCTGCTCTTTCAAGCAGTCTGGCGGGTGCACACCGTAGCAATCTCAGCCGATTGTATTGATCGCTACTGGACGCATTAAACGCCCCGCGAGACCGGTCTTCAGGTAGGGGCGCGTGACGGGTGCACGACTTGCATGAACTCGGCAGAATTGAATCGCTATGGGGGCTTACTCGGCACCGGTCAAGCATCTCGTCTTGTGAAGAAAGGAGCTCTTGCTCATTATGGCTCTCTGAAAGATTCGGCTAAAACCTTCCATACTGCGGTCCTTCGTCCTGAGGCGCGGATTGCAGCGTCCAGGTCTCCACTTCAGGTCATTGGAAATAGTGGTCTAGGGGCTGCATACGTCAGCAACCATCGGGTGATATTGGTGTTGAGATTTCCCTCTTTGGTACTGTGTGATACGTGAACCATTGCGCATGCTCAGAATATCTTATATAAGCCCAAGCAGCCCCTCCAATAAACTCTTTTTTCTCTCTGTACAACGCTTCGTTATTTTGCTGCCATTCTGTACAGGTTATGGGCCCAGTACATTGCGGAATCTAACGGACAGCGATCACGGTGAATCAGGTGCAACGAAAGATGGATAAGCTGCAGGTTGCTAAGTTTGACGGCAAGCATGATTTCATCGTGTGGAGAATTCAAGTTCAATCCTATTTGGAAGCGAACAACTGGTTCGGTACGATCAACGGAGCTCTCAAGAGGACTGACGAGAGTGCAAGCGAGTGGATGAGGTCAGAAGCTAAAGCCAAGGCAGTTATCCTCAACTCCTTAGAGACGTCTGTCGTTCGAACGGTTATGAATCTCAAGACGGCGGAAAATATGTGGGAAAGGCTGAGCACTATCTACGAATCTCGTTCCAAACTCTCCGTGAGCCTTCTGAGACAAGAGTTCTACTCATACCGAATGACTGACTCTATGGATATGGCTACCCACTATAGCTAATGTGGAGTCGATGGTTCAGAGGCTGAGCGATTTGGGGAAGGAAATGGAGGAGGACGAAGTGATTTCGAAGCTGCTCCAGTTACCCAGGAAGTATCATGGTTTGGTTGCGGCTTGGGATGCTGTGGACGAAAAGCTGCAAACGAGGGAAAATCTCATCCCGCGAATGCTGAAGAATGGAAAAAGACTCGAGAAAGATCCTCCAGTAGCTCAGGAAAACGAAGCGTCCGTGGCGCTGGCTGTGAAGCAAGTTCGGAAGAAGTTCAGCGGTGTACATATGTTACTTCTGCGGCAAAAGTGGTCATAAGAAAAATCGATGCCAGAAGTACCGTCAAAGTAAAGGCGGACAAGCGTCGGTGTCAGCCCCTAGTCCTAAGCCTAAGCCAGACGCAATGACTGTCGCCAGTCAGTCGTCGCAGGATGATCTGATATTCAGCGCCAAGTGCTCATCTGGACAGAAAGACGAGGAATGGCTAGCTGATACAGGAGCTGCAAGACACATGTGCAATCGCAGGGACTGGTTTTCCGATTTCCATGAGCTGACCAATAAGCATCCATTCTATTCTGCCAGCGGCCATGTCATCTACGGAACCGGGGTGGGCACGATTCCTCTCGAATGTTTCGTGTCTGGTCGTGCTCAGAAGGCTGAGTTGAGAGAAGTGTTGTTCGTTCCCGAAGTGAAACAGAATTTGATCTCGGTCGGTAAATTGACTGACAGAGGATTGGAGGCACACTTCTCAGCTCAGACAATGTCAATCACTCACGGTGGGAAAGTCGTCGCCGTCGGAAAAAGAGAAAGCAACAGGCTATACCGAATTGATTGCCGAGTTCTCAAGGTTGAAGCTGTAACGAAGACCTCCCGCATGACAGTGTCTTCGAGTCGACCGCAGTCCTTGGTCGTTTGGCACGAAAGACTTGGGCACGTGAATTATCGAACTCTCGAGAAAGCAATCGAACGTGGAGCTTTCAGTGGAGTCGAAGTTCGAAAATCTGTCAAGTCACCGAAATCTCGACCAAGCTGTGAAGCCTGTTTCATGGGTAAGCAAGCTCGGCTACCCTTGTTTCCTTCGGACAAGCGTGCTTCGAAGTGCGGCGATCTTATCCGTTTCGATATCTGTGGACCCATGAGCACACCCTCGATGTCTGGGCGAAGGTGGTTGGCGATTTTTGTGGATGATTACAGTGGTTTCTTATTCGTATATTCTCTTCGGGAGAAGAGCGAGATTTACGAAGCCATGCAGTCAATTATTGTGGAAGCTGCATCCTGTAATCATTCAATCAAAGTTGTGCGCAGTGACAACGCATTGGAATTCAAGTCCGCGAAAATGGTTGCGCTGCTCAGGGATCGCCTAATCAAGCAACAGTTCAGTACACCTTACGTTCCTGCTCAGAATGGAAGAATCGAGAGGCAGAATCGAACGGTTATCGAATGCGCTCGTACGATGCTAACTTCTGCCGGTTTACCGAAGACGCTG